AATGAGCATAGTGTTTATCTCGAAATTCGTGTTTTTTTGAATGAAGAAACACACTTTGATTTCTCTTTAGATCATTATATGGTTATTTTACTCCATACAACAAAAGCCTAGCCATGCTATCGTCGTTTCGTAAACAAGATAAAAAAGACGAAGAGTCAGGTATGAAATAAGACATGCAACTCACAAAATAAAAGTATTAGAAACAATTTTAAAAATTTAACATATAATAAATTTTTGATGCCATATTGCTTCAATAGTTTTTACTTTTAGCTACGAGTGGTAATCCGTATAAAAATTTGGAAAAAGCGTCCGTTCTCCAAGAAGTAAGTAGACTACATCCTTTTTCTATTGGTAATATCAGTTTACTTTTATTTTCAAGGCACGCACATTCAACGAGTCGACAGTTAATCCAAAAAAATGCACTCAAATATTAACAAAAATTGCCTACATGTTAAATCAAGTAAGACGATTCTCTTGTATTTAGTCCTTGAAATTATCTTTACAGAAAGAAACGGTATGCTTTTGTTTATATAGTTCTGTTTTGGGGTGAGAACAGAACATATTGTTTGTGAGAATGATTATAGAGAGAACAGTAATTTAAAATGGAAGTATTTTCTTCTTCAATTATTATCATTATTTTATATATTTTTGCTTATTTATAGTACAATTTACATTAGTATTCTTTTTTAATTGTAGGGCGAACAAATGGGACAAACAGAAGCTACAGAAACATTTTTTGCCATGACAAAATTATTTCAGTCAAAAGATGTAACATTTTTTTTCTAAAATAATTTATAAGATGCTATAAATCTATTCATTTTAGATGATGTTACGTCGGATGATATATTTATTGATAAAAGATATGTCTTCGGTAGCGAATGATGTTATAATCGTTACATCAAGTTTAACAAAAGATATGACTGGCAAAGAAGATTCACATCGTGGACCTGCTATCCGAGCATTATGTAAAATAACGGATGTGAGTTATATTTGAACTTCTTCGTTGTGCAATCAAGCAAGCATCAAATATTACGTCTTTTTCTACAAATTTTAATTTGATAGTTTTCCGTCCTTTGTTTTAGCCTTCAATGATGCAGAGTGTCGAACGTTATATGAAACAAGCCATTGTTGATAAATTACCATCGGTCTCATCTGCTGCTTTGACATCATCAAGTCATATGATGCGTCAAGGACCAGATGTTATTAAGCGTTGGGTTAATGAAGTACAAGAAGCTGTTAATAATGATAATATTATGGTTCAAGTATGTTCCTGTTATTATTTTCTTTGTATAAATTGAACTCTACTTCCTGTTTTCTAGTATCACGCATTGGGCTTATTATATCAAATTCGTCGCTCGGATAAACACGCTATTCGAAAACTAATATTAAAATTTTCAAAAGCTGGACTAAAAAGTCCATATGCATACTGTTTTCTTGTAAGTAAATCTTATTAACACTTTTTCACCATCGAGCGTGCTCAGTGCTAAAAATATTTCAGTTAGGTAAAAGAATTGATAAAAATATCTTATGACTAGACTACTCGTATGAATTTTATCAGTACTATATCTTGTTCATTTTTTGCAGTTAATTTGTTTGAAGACCGAAATTTATTAAAGTCACAGCTTTCGAATCAACAGATTCAATATAAAACATACTGGAAAGGTCACCATGGTCTTTAGTCTATCCGCCTGAAAATAAATGTTTTTTCAATCAATTTTTTAAATTTATTATTTATTTTATATATAGAAATATATTTTTCGAAAAATAGTCACATATTCTGAAAGCGCTCGGAATTCTCTATCATCCTGTATATTTATGTCTTGACTTGTACTTATTTGCTAAAAAATATTTCGGGTATAATAAAGGCACCCTCATTGTCAGATTCCCACGAACTGCATTTTTTATTTCTTTTTTACTTGTTTTTTTCAAATTTATCATGAATATAAAAATAACTTTTTACAAAAGTATTATATATTCTGATAGCGCACATTCAAGCACATTCAAAAGTACAAACCCAACTAAGTTCGCACTTTCGCAACCTTTTTTTACGGAAATAAGTGCAGAAGAAAAACATTCAAGTGGAAAAGAATACCAGATTTTCAAAGTTTTCATTTTTTTTCCGTCTTTCGTATAATCTACGTAGTTTTCTTGATTGACGTTCTGAAATTAAAGTTTAGATATAGTTCTGTAGAGTATATCGCAGCACATCTTCTTAAGGAAAACATTAACTTTTGGGTCCTTAAAGAAACACGAGAAAAATAGAAAATATTGAGAGGCTGCAACCGTTAGAATTTCTGGGAATGTGACAGGTGGAAGTCATTAACAATATTCAAAATTTTTCCCAGAAATCCAGGCTGGGAAAGCAGAGACTAATAGAGAATTTCAAACGCTACCAGAATATATATCTTTTCGAAAAATATTTTTCGAGATATATAATAAAATTTAAAAAATCGACTGAAAAAATTTATTTCCAAGCGGATATATGCCTATGACAGAGAATGATTAAAAACTTAGATACTCTCTGTCATAAACTTATTGATTAAAGCTCATCGTGACCTTTCAAGTATGTTTTATATATATATATATATAACTTTATACAAATTTTTTCACATATGTACAAGTTTTTCATTGAAGATGAATCTGTTGATTCGAAAGCTCTGACTTTTTTAATAAATTTCAATATTCAAACAAATTAGCTGCAAAAAATGAACACATTTCTTTTACAAGTCCTACCACTATCACTCAAATTATATCAAATTATATCTCACTCAAGTTGATCTTTAGATTCGTATTGCTGCCAATCTGTTAAATGAAGAAGGTGAAGGGTATGTATTATTGTTGACTTTTGACTTATTATTGTTCTTATTTATCCTTGTATTCTTTTTCTCTCAAGTACTGATAGTTCAGTGTATGATTTCATTGATTCATGTTTACGTCACAAAAATGAAATGGTGATCTATGAAGCAGCTTCAACTATCATCTCATTAAAATGTGTTACACCAAAAGAGTTATCTTCAGCTGTGAACGTTTTACAATTATTTCTCACGTCAACAAAATCTGTTTTAAGATATGCTGCTGTTCGAACATTAAATAAAGTGCGTGAAGGTCGATTGATTAAAGCTAAAAAACAAGAATTTTACTTTATATTCTTATTTAAAGGTAGCTATTCAATATCCAGCTGCTGTGACAGCGTGTAATGTCGATTTAGAAACACTAATTACTGATTCGAATCGATCAATCGCAACATTAGCTATAACAACATTATTGAAAGTACATAAATAAGGAAACGATAGTTAGTTTTGATAACTGTTGCATTAGTCTTTGAAAAATGAATGAACTGTTGGCACTCAATGTCTGCTTTTTTTCGTCTATATAATCCACTGAAAATAACTATTACGATATATATTGCTGAGTACAAATGTATTATTCAATTTGTTTTAGACGGGTAATGAAACTGGTGTTGATCGTCTAATGAAGCAAATCTCAACATTCATGTCGGAAATATCCGATCAATTTAAAACGGTTGTCGTCGATGCCATCCAGTAGGTTTTTATCATTCTCTGTATAAACTATACAAAACTATTTGTTTATTTAGATCATTATGCCAGAAATTTCCTCGTAAGCATTCAACATTAATGTCATTTTTGGCGAATATGCTACGTGAAGAAGGTGGTTATGATTATAAAAAAGCAATAGTCAATACAATTATAACGATTTTAGAAGAAAATTCAGACGCAAAAGAAGCGGGTATATTGCAAATATCGAACAATAAGATTTTCGTTTATTTTGTGTTTTTATATAACTTTATGCTGGGTAACGTTTTTCTTTCTAAATAGGTTTGGCTCATTTATGTGAATTTATTGAAGATTGCGAGCATACATCGTTGGCTACACGTATTTTACATTTACTTGGACGTGAGGGACCACGAACAACAACACCAGCAAAATATATTCGATATATTTACAATCGTGTTATACTGGAAAATGCGCCAGTGAGAGCTGGTAGGTTTCTTTTGTACATTTGATCTGATATCTATTCATTTTACATCTTTTCTTTTGTATGATTGTTGTTTTCTAGCGGCCGTTAACGCATTGGCTAAATTTGGTGCAGCATCCGACGAATTGTTACCAAATATCTTAGTTTTATTACATCGAACGATGTTAGATCAAGATGATGAAGTTCGTGATCGGGCAACATTTTTCTATCATTTGTTAAAAGAAAATGATAAAGCATTAAATTCGATTTATATTCTTAATTGTAAGTAGAAAAGCAGTGTATTAAAAAGGTTTATTAAATGTGTTCACACCTAAAACTGAATTAATAATGAGTAACGCAGCAGTTTTTAGCAACTACTGCTTTAATCACACACCTTATAAAAGATTATTAGTTATTGGAATGATCTGATTGAAATCGAAGATCAGATGATCGCTGAGAGAGAGCAGTATGCAAAAAAAAAAATTATTCATTTCTTTTAGCTATGAATGTTTCACTCTCATCGTTAGAAAGATTATTACAACGTTATACAATGGAGCCAACTCAAAAACCATTTGATGTTAGACAAGTGCCAGTTGAAACAGTTCACGTTGAACCATCTAAAAGTCTGAAAGAAAATATTTATTTTTGTACAATTATTTAGACAGTGTTTCTCTTTGTTTTATAGCTGATATAGGAATTTCAAGGCAAGTGGAACAAACACCAAGTAGACAAGATACTTATAGTGGTACGTTCACGACTAGAGATAAACTAGTTTATTCTGTTATTGTTTACACAGCATGATTTTTTTGTCTGAAATTAATTTTCCTGAAAGATAAATCTATTACTTTTATTTCGTTTTTGATCCTTATTACACTAATTGTTATGATGTATATATTTAGAACAATTAGCTACGATTCCAGAATTTAGTCATTTGGGTCCAATATTCAAAACATGTTCAGCTTTTGATTTAACTGAGAGTGAGGTTGAATATGTTGTCAGATGCATCAAACATGTCTTTACACATTACATCGTATTTCAAGTAAGCAGTTTCATCTTTTCCTTTTCCTACTGTTTATGAGGTATTGCTAACGATTCTAGTTTGATATTAACAACACGTTAAACGATCAATTATTAGAACGTGTCACTGTTCAGATGGAATCAGCCGATGGTTTTGAAATTGTTCATTATACACCATGTCAAGTTATTAAATGCAATGATATGGGAACAACATACACACTTGTTAGACTACCAAATGATCCAACAGGAGGCAAGGGTTTAATTTATTCTCGTCGGTTCCAAATATAGATTCACTTCTTTTTGTAGTGACTGGCAATTTGACATGTACAATGAAATATACGGTGAAAGATTGTGATCCAACCACAGGTGTACCTGACGATGAAGAAGGATATGCCGATGAATTTGTGGTGAGCATCTAACTGTAGTTTGAGAACGAATCTTCTCTCTAAGGTCATCTACACTTTTTCTTCAGCTCGAAGATATTGAAGTGGCTGTTTGTGATCATATGCAAAAAGTGTTAAAACCAAACTGGAATGCGTCATGGGAAGAAATTGGTGGCGAAAATGAACTAGAAGATACGTATGCACTATCGATGCCAACATTAGAAGGTATGTTAATCCAATTTTGTATGAGAGTTCTGGATTGAGTCTGTCTGATTGCAGAACATCCGCAACCTCTACATTCTAATGGTCTGTTTGTGAAGGATGAGTCTCATGTTGGAGTGTTTTGATAGATACATAGACTATGCTTGTTTTGTAGATGCTGTCAAAAAGATAATTCAGTATATGGGCATGCAACCGTGTGAACGTTCGGATAAAGTGGTTGAAAATCGTTCGTCACATACACTCTATCTCGCTGGTGTTTACCGTGGCGGTCATGACGTATTGGTACGAGCGAAAATGGCATTGAGTGAAAACATTGCCATGCAGTTGACGGTGAGAAGTACCGATCAGTCAGCAGTGCAAGTAGTAGCATCGGCTATCGACTAGGAGTGAGAACATGAAATGTTTTTCGTCTCAAGTTTTAAATCTGTTTATTTAACAAAAGAATATCTGTTGTTTTTTTTCTTTTTTGTTTCTGTTTTTTATTGGAGGTTTAATTTATATTTACCTTTTTGAGCTACTGTGAAGGTGTATGAGTGACACTGAGAATTGTCTATATGTGTTTTATCTATCCTGAGAGTTTTGAAATTTCGTTAAAACGACTAATATAACAACATCGGTCTGTCCTTAGACCAAGACTGTTAAACAAACATTATAAAAGTATTAAAACGAGCATCAATTCAAAGAAAAACAGTACAGTAGCTTTATGTTAGTGAGACTAAGAGTAAGTGAATATATGTTATCTGGATTTTGTGTTACAATTATGGCTTTCAAATTCATTTTCATTATTTCCCTCACGAATTGCACAATGAATATGATCCTATGTGTGAGGCATGCTCAGTCCTATGAACAATACTCAATCGATATCTTTTACTATATTCAATAGGTGTCGCCATATGTAATGACAAAGTTTCGTTTCTTTTTTGGAGTCTCATTGTTGTAAACTACTGCTTTCGGTAAAATGAGTGTGTAATCGACGATGGTCTGTAAAAAAAGTGTGTGCAATTTTATACACTAGGAGAGGATTCATTCAACAATTTGATTGACACATTCAAAAACCTATCGGAGCTGTTATTATTTGCAGTCACTTATTCGTTATTCGTTCATTCGAAAAAGTCTCAGCTGCAGTAATAAAAAAGTGTTTTGCTTGTTCCCCATCACTTGTTAGTCAATAACTAGCAGAAGATCTTAAAGACTAGCCGTTAGTTTTAAAATGAAAATTGAGGAACATTAAAAAGCGTATTATAACACATTCGAGGCGATGCGACCCACCGGTGGGTCCCACTATATTTTAACAAGAAACTTAAGAGGAACACACTTTCTTTTCGTTTTTTCTTAGGCAGGAGGTTACACGTGATGTGTCATGTGCTCTGCCTTTGCTACTTTTTGAATTATTTATTGCATAGCATGATGCTTCGCGATATTTTCAAACTTTGAATTTTTTCTTCAAGTCTTTCCAGTTTATAGAAGATACTTCGAAGTATATGTCCTGAAGTTTTCTCAGCTTACTTACATTATCTGGCTGAGAAAAAAATTAATTACTTGAGAAAAAAGTTTTTGAGCATGGGGCTAATATTAAAAAATTTCCTATCTATTCTCCATTCATCATAAAAACTTGGTTCTTGTCTGCATCGATAGAGAAATGCGTGAAGAATATTTAGTACGAGAAAAGATGTGAAAAATTTTGTTCTCTCGTTCCTGTTATTGACTAATTAGTAGCAATTAACGTTAAATTAGTCTACTCTACTAGTTTAAAGTCCGGTGGAATAAAAACAGACTGAAAGGTAGCCTGTCATGTAGTTCGTGAAATTCTGTATCAGATGAGATATTGCTTGAATTTTTTCGTTGAGTCGGTATTTTATTACCACCGATGGATCACATCACCGCGAATGTGTTAAGTAATTTCTTGATATCTTAATCTTTTTCTATAAGGATGAGATATTAGGCTGATAAAATTCAGCGACTGCTTCATAACTAGTCAATTTTGAGCATAAATTTGACAGAAAAAAAACGGTTATATATATACTCTTCGAAAACTATAGCTCCAACTTACCTTTGTTCAAGAACCCCCGTTTGTTCATTTTTGCCTTATCAAAATAAGATCAGCTGATTTCTTTGATTCCTTATTGATCCTTTTTGATAAATTTTCACATTAAGAGCAATACAAATGGGGAGCACCAGCTTTAATGTCACCACGTTTTTGGAGGAGCATCTGCTAAAGAGATACCCAAACTTGCGATGAATCAATATTCCATTTTTTGACATATTAGACTCTTCTCTCCGTTTAAAATTCGACGGTGCTTATCTTTAACAGGAAAAATTCGTTATTGACAGCTAGAGTCATGATGACATTGTCGATTGTATTTAAACTTCAAAAGAATGAAAATAGTTGAAGCGTAACGATGGTATTTGTTGTCTAAATATTCATTTTCTATGTGAAAGAAAACTAAGAAGATAAAGAGACTTATCAATCAAATATGTTAATTCAAGGCTAAAAATCAGTTTTCATAGCGTATTAAAGCAAAAGAAATGACTTTACATTGGCATTTATAATCACTTATTTGAATGACACTTATAAAATTCAAATAAATGGTTAACTGAATGTTCTGGTGTCCTCTCGATTCGTCCCTCAAATGCACGCATAGGCTAAATTATTCAGCTTTTAATAAACTTTGTAAAAACAACACTAATGATTAACAATATATAAACAACTACAATATCACTATGTCCACAATACAAATCAATTGTTCGTGAAGATATCATTTTTTAATTGTGTTTTTTTTAACAGCTCTACCAGCAGATAATAATAGACGAACATCAAATATACCATCGGAATGCCAAAGCAAACATGATGATAAAAAAGGAATACTTCATTGTGATGTGCATGTATGACCTGTTTCTTCACGAATAATTAATTTGTCTTGTGAATATAGTGATATTGAACTTGTACAACTTCTATCACGACAATGCCATTCATTCCGAGTTTTATGTTCTCGTTTTTTAGTGCATTGATAACCTTTATAATTTAAAACTGGCTTACCACGTTCAGTGACAGTGAACTGTAACATTTTCGAAGAATTTGTGTGTACTTCACTGAATATCCGTAAGTTTACATAGGTTAGTGAGCTTCTTCTTTTAAGCATCCCAAACAGCTATAAATTATATCTGTTTACATATTGTTAATTATTAGTGTTGTTCTTTTTTACAAAATTTATTATATAAATTTAAAAGCCGAATAGTTTAGCCTATACGTGCATTTGAGGGACGAATAAAGAAAAAAATTTTAAGGGACGAATTGGGTAATCAATTAGGGACGAATCGAGGCTAAATCGAATGTTCTCTACATATTTAGTTACTTTGTGTTTCGTCTCAGTTGACATGACTCGTTAAAAGATAATTCTACTCATCTATTTACATTACCTTATGAACAAAAAGCTTGATATGAGTATTTTGACGTTTAGATGGTAATAAGGTAAATCAATATCTCGATATTTTTGCACTAGTATACTGTGTATAACAGTTAGATTTCAAATAAGGAAAGTCAATCAGGTTGTTAATTAAGTGAATAAATGGAAGATAGTGTAGTCTAAACCACGTTAAAAATCGGCGTTATTCCTTAAAAAGTAAAAGCGTTATCTAAAATAAAAGTTTTATCTTGCTTTTATTCTTTCTCAATC